TTTTGTTTTGTCTTAATGTGATCTCCAACACCTTGGCCATATATGTTGTTACCCTGTGCTCCCTACTGACACAAATATACCTTAAGTGACATAAGTTACTAGTTGTGTTTAATTGAAATCACACAGTTTGAAGTCCAAGAGTCTTTTTAGAATTCTATATGTTTGGTCTATTTTAGAACAATTCCCTCTTGTGTTTTCTATTTGTCAACCAATCGCATTACCCATTAACACATGTCCTGCTTCACTTTATATCCTTCAAATTGCACCTGAAGGTTGGTTTGCTTGGTGATGTCCGCCTGCGGAGCTTCCTGTCGCCAAAATGTCAGTGAATCCATCCTCGGCTGGCTTCTTCACCATCATAGCTCTTCTGTGACAGGGGCCTCAGCGAGGCAGTGAGCTGACACATTTGTCCTCCCAGCTCTATTCCCCTCTGACAAAGTAAAAATCGGAGTCTAAACACACAAGCAGGAGGACGGATGACAGCCTGCGTCTCCAGGATCAATTTGCCACAAATTAGATACAGTAATGGTTCATTTCTCCACATAAATAGCTGCATCAACAGGGACTATTTTGGAAATCTGTTCGCTTTCACCCTAGAAATCTGTGGCGGCTCTCTGCTCCATCCCTGGCTGCTTTCTTCTGTTAATCTTATCAGAGCACAGATATACTTTCTTTGTTTTTACCACACACATTGATGCCTAGTTTATTAGTTTCTGTTAATAAAGAAAATAGATCATTATGTTCCACTGTGTGCAAATGTTTTTCATTTTATTGCTCTTTCTGGACATCTTTTACACTAGACATCTTTCCATTCATATACATTAGTGGTCACTGGTAATCAAGTACAATGATCTGTCCATTCTTTTAAAAAGATCTGAATACAAATACGTTGGCATAAAAAATAATTTAAATTAATAGTAATTACAGTAACATCTACGTTAATATATTGCCCCTAGGTGTCTGAAAAAGTTCAATTAAAGTATATAGTATATAGTATTACCTCTGCCATATTTGGTGCAATGGTGTCTCTCGAAGAGAAAAGTAAGGCCATAAAATCATCAAGTCTGTGGGTCAAAGCTAAACAGATAACTAAAAAGACAGATGCAGAATGAAATATAATATTGTACTGGCATAAAACTCAGTTTTTAAAACCCCACGAAGGTTAAATGTAATTCAGCGCTATAAAATCCATTCAAGTAATAGAAGCTTGGACAGATGTTTGTTATATCTCAAAACTCCTTTGATAGCATTAAAAAGTTGAGAAATTATTATTATAAGAGACTTAAGTAAAGTAAATGTTCTCAAATACTTTAAACCATTATGACTCATTTTCTGGTAATTGGTCTAAGCCATTTTGTAAGCAACGACAGCCTGCCAGGTGATGTCTGCAGCTGGTGGAACAGATTACGTGTAAGGCTTTGCAGCTGTGCTCTCTTTTAAAATACCAATGATGGACCAGAGGCAAGAAACTGTCGGGAGGGTGTAAGACAGGAAACATGACAAAGTGATAGACAATGTCACACGGTGAATAAGCCCTTGCCCGGAGAGACAGGTGCATGACTTTCCATTAATAGTGATAACATCAGCGAGGCTTTTTGAGGTATACTGACATGCCGTGGAATAATTTTGGAAGATAATAAAGAATTTAGGGAAAGTTTAGAAAGTTGTGTTATGTTACCCCATATAGGAGAGACATTGCAAGACATTACATCAGGAGTCTGTTAAACAGCACCGATGTTAATGCAGAATTAAGAAGCTTTCTATAATATCTCTACAGTTCTTCACAAGTTTTCAGAGCTTCTTAAAGTTTCAAACTATTTTTCAGCGAAAAGAACTGCTACTGGATAGCTACTGGATTTTATTTAGTTAAAGTAAGAAGTCTAGTACTAAAGCTTAACTTTGTGCAACTTTTGCATGTTTTGTGGCTTTAAATACAAGATACATATAACCATGGTAATTCTTGTGAATTGAGAATAGGGATACTGGTCAGTCATATTGAATATTGGCACCTGTTGCATGTGGGCTTTTAGAAACCAAGAGGTGTTTGGGTTATTTGGAATAACATAGCCATACCATAGATACATCACATGACATCAACACATCAAATCTCATCACATCACAACAATTAATACAACATAGACCCAGTGTACAGCTTCATCCAATGCAGAAGAGTGCAGGTAAATTGGTTCATGGAGTTTATTGCAATAGGAACAAAAGAACCCTTATAGACCTTTTTGTTTGCCAGGAGTACTCTGTAGCATCATCCTGTGGGGAGCAACTCAAACTCAAAGAGGGTGTTTAGAGTCTACCTAGCTCTATTTTAAAGGTCATTCAATGACTTTTGTTGCCAGCATCTTTCTTGTTGTTTTGAGAATCCCCGGCAGCTTGTTTTTAATGTCAAATGTCCATACCAGACAGAGATATTAAACACAAGAATACTCTCTATCAGGCAGACATAGCCTTTTTTCAAACCCTTTCAATTTCTTAATTAAACTCAAAAACAATTATTGGCTTTCTTACATACATATAGAAAACATTGTTGCAATGTGAATGACTGACCTCCTCTAGCGACTTACTTTCCCCAGCAATAACCATCATCACTTCTATATATAAGTCATATCACTTCTGTAACACAAGAGCGTGATATGACTTTTTAAACGGGTGGCAGGCTGATATGAGGGAAATATGCTTCAGGGTGAAAAGGTGAGAGAGGGATGCCTCTTTCTTCTCCTACTTAATATGTAAGTTGATATCTAATTTACTGACCTCTTTTTTTAAGCATTCTGGTTAAAGAAAGATGAATTCTACAGGGTGGGTGTATTGCAAAAGGTCCAGGTTAATTGAATGTATGTTCAATAATCAGAATTTAAACAGCGCAACACAAAATGATTGTATGTCTACCCTGCAGAATTCAGTGCACAAACTTCATTACGGATACTCGGCATCCCTTCTTACATTGGCTAATACGTTCACTGCGGTCTCCAAAAGTAGGTAAATTTGCACTGGGCTTCAGTGGAGCTTTACGTATTGAGATCTGCCCAGCCTGAGACATAAAAGCCATCCCCAAAAGGCCTTTGCTGATTAAAATGCTTGTTGATTGTTTGTTAAACAACTTTTTTTTATCCCAGAAGAGCTGAATACTAAACCTTTTACACACTGTATTTGTTTTCTAAAATGAACTGGATTTGGAGATTATGAGAGAAGATGAGGACAAGCTGAATAGGACGCTAATTGGTGTTTTTTCCTGTACTGTCAATGCCACTGCTCCATCAGTCCATTTACATCAGAATTAATACTGACCCCCTGCTCAGCAACCAAAATAACTGGGTTTGGAGCTGATGTGCTTTCTGAATGATTGATAGAGTTGGTGTTGAGAGCAACAGCATGATGCTCCAGATTGGTAAAATGCAGCAGAAAACTATCAGGGCTGACTTCCCAAGAGCAGCATGCAGAATCCCATCCAATTGCATTATCAAGGACAGCTGCCTCATTTCCATAAAGTCTTTCAGGTGAAGTCATGGCCTGTTTCCCCACACCTTTTATTTAATCTGTAATTTACCAAGACCTGATCCTGTTTTCAAAAGCTCTGCCAAAGCGGTTATGTTTTCCTTTATGTCCATTTGAATGTCTGTCTGTTTATCACTGTGCCTATTAAAAATAGAAAAGAATAAATCTGTTTCTATAGATTCTGTACTGTTCCAACCAAGGTCTACGCTCTGAAAGTACATTGTAAGTCCATTGCCTATGTTTTAGGGGATATTAATTTAAGAAAATCTAAATATGGAAACATATCAAGAAATGCAAATCTTAGCACTTTTTTACACTCAAAAGCACATTTGCTCTTTTCTGTTTAGGTGTTTAATCTGATTATCTATTGTTTTCTGTTTAATCCACAGTTAACTAAGCCCCATTGCCACATCCTATGGCTCGTTGCTATACCTGTCTAGATTTATGTTCTTGCTCTGCACATAGAATACGGACAATCAAACATTTTAGTAATTTTTTTTAAATGGTCGACAAAAGTAGGATTCCCATTTCTAGCCAGTTAAATTTTGCTTGCTGAACTGACCAGACTTTATAGGTTGTAGCTAGTTAGCAACTTAAGCTAACATTAGCATAACGTGTATTGTTTGAAAACAGTCTCAGGCTGACATGCCATGTCCATTATTCTGTAACCCGAGTAGCCTGAAAGATGACCCATTGGACCGAAAGCCCATTTGTCCAACTGCACATTGAAGAAGAGTTAAAGTCTAGAAGGTCAAAGAGACCCTTATTTTTTTTCTCGG